TTTTTGACATTTTTTCGCCATACTATACTATGACATTTTTTGACATTTTTTGCCATACTATACTATGACGTTTTTTGACATTTTTTTGCCTCACTATACTATGACGTTTATACGCCTTACTATACTATGATGCTTTTTGACATTTTTTCGCCATACTATACTATGACATTTTTTGACATTTTTTGCCATACTATACTATGACGTTTTTTGACATTTTTTTGCCTTACTATACTGTGACGTTTTTTGAAATTTTTTGCCATACTATACTATGACGTTTTTTGACATTTTTTTGCCATACTATACTATGACGTTTATACGCCTTAATATACTATGATGTTTTTTGACATTTTTTCGCCATACTATACTATGACGTTTTTTGACATTTTTTTGCCTCACTATACTATGACGTTTATACGCCTTACTATACTATGATGCTTTTTGACATTTTTTCGCCATACTATAGTATGACATTTTTTGACATTTTTTGCCATACTATACTATGACGTTTTTTGACATTTTTTGCCATACTATACTATGACGTTTTTTGACATTTTTTTGCCATACTATACTATGACTTTTATACGCCTTACTATATTATGATGTTTTTTGACATTTTTTCGCCATACTATACTATGACATTTTTTGACATTTTTTGCCATACTATACTATGACGTTTTTTGAAATTTTTTGCCATAATATACCATGACGTTTTATGACATTTATTTGCCTTACTATACTATGACGTTTTTTGCCATTTTTCTTGCCATACTATACTATGACGTTCATACGCCTTACTATACTATGATGTTTTTTGACATTTTTTTGCCATACTATACTATGACGTTTTTTGACATTTTTTAGCCTCACTCTATTATGATGTTTATACGCCTTACTAGACTAAGATGATTTTTGTGCCTTACTATACTATGACGTTTATACACCTTAATATACTATGATGTTTTTTTACATTTTTTTGCCATACTATACTATGACGTTTTTTGACATTTTTTAGCCTCACTCTATTATGATGTTTATACGCCTTACTAGACTAAGATGATTTTTGACATTTTTTTGCCATACTATATTATGACTTTTTTTTAACATTTTTTGCCATACTATACTATGACGTTTTTTTGACATTTTTTTGCCATACTATATTATGATGTTTTTGCCATCTTTTTGCCATACTATACTATGACGTTTATACGCCTTATCATAGTATGATGTTTTTTTGCCATTTTTTTGCCATACTATTCTATGATGTTTTTTTGACATTTTTTAGCCTTAATATACTATGACGTTTTTTGACATTTTTTAGCCTCACTCTACTATGATGTTTATAAGCCTTACTATACTATGATGTTTTTGCCATCTTTTTGCCATACTATACTATGACGTTTATACGCCTTATTATACTATACATTTTTTGCCATTTTTTTACCATACTATACTATGACGTTTTTTTAACATTTTTTTGCCATACTATACTATGACGTTTTTTGACATTTTTTTGCCTTACTATACTATGAGGTTTATATGCCTTACTATACTATGACCTTTTTTGCCATTTTTTTGTCATACTATACTATGACGTTTTTTGACATTCTTCAGACATACTATACTATGACGTTTATACGCCTTATTATACTATGATGTTTTTTGTCATTTTTTCGCCATACTATTCTATGACGTTTTTTTTACATTTTTCAGCCTTACTATACTATGATGTTTTTTGACGTTTTTATGCCTTACTATACAATGACGTTTTATGCCTTACTATACTATGACATTTTTTGATTATTTTATGTCATAATATACGATGACGTTTTATGCTGTACTATACTGTGACATTTTATGCCTTACAATACCATGACTTTTTTGGCATCTTTATGCCTTTTTTTTTGCCTCACGATCCTATGTCGTTTCATGCCTTACTATGCTATGTTGTTTTATGACATTTTTATGCCTTACTATTCTAAGACATCTTTTGATGTTTTCATGCTTTACTACACTATGATGATTTTAGAATTTAATTTGCCATATTATACTATGACGTTTTATGCCTTACTATACTATAACGTTTTTTGGCATTTTTATGCCTTACTATTCTGTGACATTTTATTTCTTAATATACAGTACAATGATGTTTTTTTGACATTTTTCTGCCTTACTGATAATTTTTGACATTTTAATGCCTTACTATACTATGTCATCTTTTGATGTTTTCATGCCTTACTATATTATGACGATTTTTGATTCTTTTTATGCCTTACGATCCTACGACGTTTCATGCCTTACTATACAATGATGATTTTTGACATCTTTATCCCTTCGATATTATGATGATTTTCAATTTTTTTGGCATCTTCATTCCTTACTATACAATGACTTTTTTTGGCAACTTCATGCCTTACTGTCCTATAACGTTTTTTGACATTTTTATGCCTTAATATAGAATGATGTTCACAGGCTCTCCTTCATTCCACTCTTTCACTCATGTAATGATCATTCAGTGGCTCCACTGATCGGGGATCAGATAACAACTACTGTATGACTGAACATGTTGAAATCACTGGTACCACTTCTCATTGTGTTTTTTAAGTTAACAACAGCTAATTTCAGTGTAACATCAGCTGCCATTATCAAAGGAGACACACCCTGTAAAGGTTACTTCGAAAGACCAAAGACTGACTGTAGTTACACTTTGAAACATAATGCATGCATCTTAGAGAGACATACAGGATGTTTTGACGCTATTTCAACATTGAACAGAAACTACAAGAGGCAAATGAGAACATGCCACATAAGTGAATAGGAGAGTGAGGGAGATATCAGTCCAGCCTGGTCTGTTCACACCCACACAGTCCTGAGGTCTAAGTGGAGGAATGAGTGAAAAAACCTGTGTAGGTGTGGAGCCTTTAAACTGCTTGACATGCAGAAACTATCTGCTCCATTCTACATGCCTTCATCATGGATATCATTTGAACATGACCATAGGTGTAACTAACACCATTAATAATGACTGTATTCCATGTTGGTGTGTCAGTTCCAGTTCTTTTCTTTGAACACATCCATATAGCGCCACGTGGTGTTTTGAAAGTCATACAGTAACCATGCACATCTAATGATAATGCCATGATAATGATAAAAAAAATCTCATTCAAAATAAAAAGTTATTTAAGAAAGGTTAAACAATCAGCTTCTGTTCAGAAATGTACACAAAATTTTGTGTATCACCGGCTGATGTTGAGCCTGGCACACTGACCCTTAAGATGGTGTGAGCTCCCTCTAATTTCCTGACAGTTTGTGACATTAACCATCACATCAGGCCACATTTTTCATCCTTTAAAGGCTCCACCAAATGAAACACTAAGGCTTCTCTCCCCTCTTATCTATTGTCACCCCTCACCTTCGTGCTGAGCAGACGTGCTGTTTGTTTGGTAGGTTTCGCTCCCAGGCTTTAGACAGCCACTCCAGTCGTCTGCTCCACATCGAGCTCACCAGACCATCAACTGGAGGAAAACACAACCAGTCAATGCAAACATTCATAATCATCTACATTACCAGCCCATCTACTGTCTAGCACATTAAAGTAAAACAACAATTTTCTTTGAATCCAAATTGTCTCTGTGGTAGCAACGTCAAGTGTAACAGAGGAGCAGAGTGAGTTATTGAATGACACTCAGACAGGCGTAAACTTACTTGTGTGTTTCATGGCAGATCCCATCACCAGGAAGGACACAGTGACGCTGATGGCTATAAACACCTGGATCAGCTCAGCCACCCAGGAGTATGCCCTGTAACGTTCATTAATAATCTGCATGGGTTGGTGGGGAGGGTGATGGACGATGGTGGAGATTAAAAATGAGGACACAAAGAAGAAGGGAGGCATGTTTTTTCATACTTTAGCACCTAAGTCTTTACACTGATAGGAATACATTTTAACAGTATGTTGCTGCTATGATAATTCACTATATTGGAATTAATTGTAAAACATGTTTTATGTGTTAAAATGACACAAGACTGTGTGTCATTATACAGGTTATTGTTCTGGCCTAATGTTTTTCACTGATTAGCTTCCTGATTAAAGTTGTGCTCATCACTGAAATCACAACTTCAGTTGGAATGAAGACCTGCTGACTTGTAGCTGTTCAACTGCATAAAGTTTAGTTTCATGACAGACACAATTAACTTGGACTCTATCTGCACCAGAGAGTCTGAGGGTGAATTTGTAAAGCATGTGTGGGCCCGAGTCCCATTTTGGAGTTAGTTGATAAGATGTGTGGATTTTTACATAAAAATCTTACACAGCGTTGCCCTGAGCGAGATCAGGCCAGGCCAGCCCCAGTGTGCACTCTCTGACTACCAATTAGTTTGTCAGCCAGGCCCAGCCAGCCACTACAGCTAATTGCTGCATGTTTCCATTTACCATCCAAGTAAGTTGTTAGCTGGGGGACTTGTTAGCTAGAAGCACTGTTTCATGTATAATTGAATGCGAACGCACTCAGATCACATCTCGCCAGATAATGGTTTCACCACAAACCATTATCTGGCCCTGCATGTGCTGCACATACCATATACTATCTATTGTACAGCGACTCTTTAGTCAGTTGGTGCGTAGTGTAGGCATTGCAGTAGTTTCACATGCAGCCTGAGCATACTGTGACTAGGAAATATCAATATGGTGTATTCACTGTGGTACAGCATCGGTGATGCTGCCATATACAGTATGTCACCTATCAGGTGACATATTATTATCACATATACATCCTCTGAATATATGAAGACATAAGTTTATAACATATATGTGCATATATTAAAAAATATATTTAATTCATATATGCAAGTTTATTAAAACAACATATATATGAAAATTCTACATGCTTATATATGTTTTTCTTATTAATTTCCCATCAATTTAAAACATGTCTATCTTCCCATTGTGGAAAAATGGTCTCAGACTTTTGGAATCCACTGTATATAATATCAACATATATTGACAGGCTTTGGGATGTACATTTATGTAACATATGTCCACAACATAAGCATAAATACATAAACATACATATTTGTATGGGCTAGACATATATGTCAATATATGAACGTTTTCCAATTTCTAATGGGTTTTGTATATAACTTTTGTGCATTATTTTACATGTTCATATATATTTCTATTATATATGGAAATTCAATATATGTATTGCATTTGCGTATGGGGTTTGACTCTTAAGAGTTTTCAGATGGTTTACAGATCGATTCTCACCAGAATGATAACCATTATTGGTCATGACACATACACACACAGTGGAAACAAATATTTGAGCACCTCATCGTTTTAAGATTTAAATATTTAAGCTCAAATATTGTAAGTTAATCAAAAATGTGTTGTTGCACAGTAAAAGTATAATAGTAGTTGTAGATCAGTTGTTAAATCATACCAACATAATTGGTCCTTAATCTCCTTCATTCCTTAATCATACATCCTGTATTTTTACTACCCACTACACTGGTAAATAGTTAGTTAGTTTACAGATATTATCATGGCAGCTTGACACCAAACACTTTGCAGTGTAGGCCTGCTAGTGAAATATCCATGACTCTATAGCATTTAGATGTAGCCTGGTATTGGTTTTTATTATTATTTCTGCACTACATTTCCTTTTGTTACCATTACTGCAGACATCATTGTGATGGTCATAAAGTGGAGACAAAGAGGGTCATTGTTGTTACATTAATCACCTGAGACCTGATTTTTTCCCCAATAGGCTTACCATCAGTTCAGCTGATAAAATGTTATATGTGATTATATGTGCCAGTCCTGTTAGGTTTCATTTTGGTGTGGGTTTAGGTTAGAGTGAAGACACCAGATCCTATGACCCTTTGTGGGTTGGTCTATGTGGCTTCTCTTCTCAGCCCATCAGCCTTCCGTTCTTCTGTTTGTGCCATTAATTATGCCTTTTTTTTCATTGTTTGTCCATTAATAAACAGAGGGGTTTCTGCTGCAAGCGGTGTGTAAGCACTCAGTCCAAACTGACTCCATCCTCCTCCTCCAGCATCACCACCCTCAGAACCACCTGTCTTGTATGCACCACAGCTCCTGAGGTGCTAAGGACACCCAGTTGGCCAAACAGTCTTCTCCAAGCTGACTCACATCGTTAAGTCAAGGGACAAAAATAGTTTTCAAGTGGGCCCCATGAGAGTTCAGGAAGAAAACAGTGTTTTTTTTTTAAAAAAGAAGGGAAAAAAAGACATTTATTTGATTTCTCTCACCCACAGTAGCTCTATATGTCCATAATGAAACTGAAACACTGCTACACCTTTCACATACATAGGATATCTACGTGCTTTTGCTCTAGAAGACAATTCCCCACTCACGTGAGAGTCTTGAGTAGCTCCACTGTCTGTGGGGGAATTCCCTGGTATTTATGTGATGTAAAAATGACAAAGGTTAAAACACCTACCTGAGTGTGGAGTCTTACCTTAGTCAGTGGAATGGTTGCAATCTCTCCTGCTTTCTCAGACCTGAGGGGGATACAAACACATACAAGAGAAGAGAAAAGGTAGTTTATCTGTCTTTCCTCCCTCGGGCACTACTGAATCACTGAGCAAAGCAAATCTTTAGCCAAGCAGAAGCTGATGTTAAACAGCTGTAATGCCACTTCACCTGCAGCACACTGACAACTTATTCCTCTTTTAACATTGTTGTTGTCTTTGCTCTCTGCCATTCACATGTCAGTGTCAGTGTGTCAGTTCAAATGGAGACATAAAATACTGAACAAATAATTCACGTCATAATTCTGTCATTAAACATGGTTACCATGTCGCATTTCCAGAAAATTGTGTAAAACATGTTCATTTCAACAGAGCAATTGAATCAGAGAGCAACACCTAATTAATGGGAGATTTCCTCCCTATTTCCAAAGGTGGTGAACTTTTATTTTTTGAAGAAAAAAGCAAAAAAACAATAGGAGTGACACAATGAGAGTGGCTTACAACACACACAAACACATAATGTAAAATCATAAAAATGTGTTACTATTAACAGAAACTGGTTCTCACAACCATGAAATAAATGTTGAGTAGTTTATGTGGCTTGAGAAACTACATCCTTGTTCACTTGCTGCCTCCGCCCTCGGAGGGTTCATCTCACAGAAGTCCACTTTAGTTTTGGAGAAGTGGAACATCACATAACACAGCGAGAGGGATTCCCCTCCGGAGGAAGTGCAGAGAGGGAGCAAATGAGGGCTTGTTAAACCACTACAGAAGTGCAGTTAGATTTTTGTGCAGCCTATTTACAGTGAGTTAGAGTTGGGTTATAGGAAAACAACAAAATCACAAAACTGCACACTCAAACCTGCAGTATTTTCTCTAAATGTTAAAATGGCAAAACCTGGCTCTGGCAATGTGTTATGTTATAATCCCTGCTGAGCTGAGCCTTGTGTAGGCTTGTGGGGTGTGAGTAGGTTTTATATAATGCTATAATGCCTCTAATCAAGTTCTACACACATCTCAAGGATAATTAAAGCAAAGAGTTTGCACTCTACCACAGTAAGGGTCTGCATACTTTTGTAAATGACAGATTTCAGTCTGTGATTTTTAATACATTTGTAAAAAATTCTGGAAGATGTTTGTCATCATGGGTTATTGAGTGCAGACTGATGGGCAAAAATGTCAGTTTTATCCAAATTAAATCCACAACACAAAGTCTGGAAAAAGTGAAGGGGTCTGAATACTTTATGTATCCACTGTATTCAATTCAATCACAAGGCTAAAGTTTGGTTTTATACAAAATCTCTCTGTTCCTTTACATTTACCACAGTAATCATCATTTATAAAAGGCTGCCCTCTACATGAATTAATCTTCATTAACACTGATATATATAGTATATAGAGCCTGTATCTCTCTCTTTCTCTGGTAGCCGGCCAGCTCCCAGGCTGCAGAGGGATCTCCTGGGGAGATACAAGAATACTACAGTGCGGGATATATTGTCCTTAATATTAAATGAGGCACAAATGGTAGTAAAACATATGGCAGGCCAGGGCTAAAACTATGAATCAGTGTTTCCATTTTAACTTTAATTTTGGCCATTTGTCTGCTCCTGCTTTAATGTGTTGTAGGTTTCATTACTTCTTTCCCCTGTTTTCCGTTGCAGCCAAATGAACACAACCAAAATCTTCACTGGAACAGGAAGTGAGAAGAAGTGAAAGGAGATGAAGTAAAAGAAAAACAAAACGAAACATGAGCTTATGATGCAAACAGCACTGGTGCACAGTGTGTGGATGACATCTGTTACACAGCCAGTGTGTCCTGCATGGGTGCATGGTTTTATTGCTCACTCACAAGGGCTGGGCAAAATGACCAAATAAATATCATGATAACATCATTGTACACATATGAAGGTGAATCAGTCATTCCAAAACTTTAACCCACAACAGTCTATACAACTACTGGTCAGACTGCTGTAGAATTTGGTATACTGATACTGATGCTTCGTAGAGGATAAGCCCTGAGGCTTTCATGACAATCCTTCCTACAGCTGCTTAGATATTGTTTAGTCTGGCCAACAATGCCATCGGTAAAACCACACCCCTATCATGGCTAAAAAATTAAATGGCCTTGGATTTGGTGAAGGGCGCACAATGACGTGTATTGAGCTCATAACACAAATTTTGGTTAGTTAGTCCAATAGTTTGGTTGGAGAGAAGTAACTGGACAAATATTCAATAAATAGCCATTACATTTTGCACAGACATTCATAGTCTCAAGAAGATGTATCCTAATGACTTTGGTGATCTCCTGACTTTTCATCTCGTGCCACAAAGAGGTGACATTACTGATTTAGATTGAAATGTCTCAACAGCTAATATGGGATTGCCATAAAATTCCCAGAATGCTCCTGTGGCACCATCATCAGATCATTTCCTTTTCATTTGTCCGATATTTTGGTTTTTGACGAGATATCTGATCGAGAATGTCAACATACTGACTGGTGTTGTGGCCGGTGTGACATCACCGCAAGATGGTCTCCAGTTTTGATACGACTTGAAACTCATACTGCACCTCGCATTTATATCAATGACAGTGATTAGATAATACAAACACAATACAGTTCAACATCACCACAAACTCTAACCCCCAAAACGTCCATTAAGTTGAATTAACACATCTTTAAAACTTCAACAAAGTGAAAGATTATAAACTTCACAAAGGTTATAACACTGTATCAGATAACATTAGTTTGGCTCAGTGTCGCTACTAGACTGGTAGCTGAGTTTATAGTTTTCATCTAATACACAATATAGGCCACATCCAAATGCTTACTTAGTACCATAGGAATATTACAGTTATTCCTTTAGATAACAAGATTATTAATATATTATCACGTAAATAAATTTGTTATCCTCAGATAAAAAGACTATTAACCACCGATCATGAGATGAAAGGATTAAAATAATAATTGTATCCACAGCTTCTCTCACCTTCTGTAAAAAGCCAGGGGTTCAATATAATGCGTTGAATAGCACATTAACTGAACAGGAGGGTTGTAAGATAATGAAATGTTAGAGTTATGAAGTATAAAATTATTCCATGTTTTTATTACTGAGCATCCCTTTGCCAGATAATATTAAAAATACTGTCGTTTACAGGTAAGAAACTAGAACCACAGAGAAGGAATCAACAATAGGTTTATTTTTTGCAAAAAGTTTCAGAAAATCCTCAGAGAATTATTCCTACTAGTGTTAATCTACTAAACTCTCTAAGACATTGAGTGAGTATGTGTGTACGGGTGTGACAGCGACTGTTATTGTATTTTTTCCACAAAGCATAATGTTAGGTATTGCTTCATGAAGCATCTAATGGGATCTGAATTAACAACATCCCAGCAATATCTCACATCTGCCTCAGTCTTTAATTCCTTTCCTTCTCTTTCACTCTCTTCCTCTTCAGCTGCCGTACCGCAGCGGCTGCTCAGCCAGTGGGTTTTATAGTCTGCATGGGCTGTGACATGCTGAGTCACAGCAGGGGGATCAGGGAGACAAAACTAATTAAGAGGACAAGCAACAGCAAAGACACAACACTGTATGCATCATTTATGGTGTTTCAAATCACCAAAGCTAATAAGCCTCATACAGTCAGGAAACAGCTTTTGTCGCCGGCTTTGAGCAAACGCTGTGAAAAGGAAAAAAAAAAAAAAAGCTTCAGGAATATCGGCAAATGTTCCATTTTCAGATACAAATGGAAAAGCAAGAGATGTGAGATGTGTGTGTGTGTGTTTGTGCTCCAACGTGATGATGTTATGCACATGCCAAAGCACTGCTTTCTGTGATAGACCAACTGGGTGTGAAACTACTGAGAACTGACTGACAAACAGGATGAAGAGGGCAGCTATCAGCAGACTGTATAAATAACTTCATAATTGCAGAGTTTTCAGGGGACCAGTTGTGTGGGTTTATGTGATGAGCAGCTGTGATGACAAGAAGGAGAGTGGGTTTATCACACTGGAGAGGGAGATTCCTCTGTCTGCATTTTACCATGTCTTTTCTCCACTGAGGCTGCTGCCACTGAGAACAACATCCTCAGTTTAAGGAAATGTTAGTCAGCAATTGACCCTTCGCTACGCCTTTAAATACTGTTGAGCTTTCCAGTGTAACACATTTGCAACTTGCACATTTACAATAGTCATGGAGGCAGATATACTACTTTAAAATTCAGTGTACTTTTTGAAACTGAGGGTTTTTAACAGAAGACAGAAGTAGACAAAGCTAACTTGCTGACTGAAGAAAATAAACTGTTGCTGATAGATTTTATTAACTGTAGCTAGCTAACTAACATTAAATGGATTCATTAAAAACGCCCTCTCCAGCAGACTCATAGGAGAACAAGAAAACTGTAAAGGGCCTTCTTATGGTGCAAAAAAGATCCAAGGGTAAAGCTCACAGCATCCTCACCAGTAGATGATGACACACACACACACACACACACACACACACACACACACACACACACACAAAATCAGTTGCATCTTAGGGCTTAAAACTTAGAAAAATGATCCTGACTAAAGAAAAAAAAAAGGCAAAAATAAAAATTTCACTTGCCATTTAGGGCAAGTAAAGAAGTAAAGATGTTTTACTTGGACAAGCAATATAAAGGTCACATTTGCTTTATTGTTAGTATTTGTCAAACTATCGCATAAGAAAAGGACAAACTGATGAGTAACAAAGCCATCATAGACAAATCCCCTTAAAACCAGTTAAGAGGAGCACAGGTCTGTTAACTCTGATATAGCATGTGGGACTGGAGTTACATTGGCTTCCATGTTGCTGTGGATGTCAGTCCTGAACAGGGATTTTTCTAACTTAACCTGTGACTCCAGAAAAATATGTTCAGCTAATTGTATGCTAACTCTTGGCTGAAGTCTTGGTAGCTTAGTACTGTAGATAGCAAGTTAACTAGTCTTGCTAATCTTAGCAGCTGACGTTACACCTTTGTTCTATTATTTTTGGCTATAAAAATACAACACTTATGTGGAGAAATCCAACGCTTGACAGATTTCTGATTCCCTAATTTCAGTTGCCAGTCTGATGATCAGCATGAAGTAGCATAAGCAATTAACTTCAGCTTTATATAGAAATATTCATGGCAATATGGGCTGCTAAGTCTTCCACCTGTTGCTATGCGCTGATGACAGCTAGCTGTCCTGAGGCAAGGTGCTGACTCACTGTTTGACCTCTGAGAAGAGCTTTTTGCTGCATGCCTCTCAGACTGTGCAAAGTCCCAAGCTGGCACATCTGACACCTGTATTCACCTGAGTGCCCTGAATGAAAGCATGGATGGCTTCCCCTCATCCATTCTGATGAACAAGGATAAGGTTACAGCTCTCACAGGAGTGGACACACTCACAGGACAGTGCCGTGCGCTTTCATAGTCTAACCTTGGCGCTGAAACTATGAGAGATGCCATGTGTACTCTGCTGTCAAAAGCACTCTTATTTTAAATTCTGATTTGATGTATTTTTCTCCAGGTCCTTCAGTTTATAAGAAAGACAGACTGACAACCTATTTTTCTGCAAAAGGTGAGGGAGAACGGGACTGGATACCAAGGCCCTTTGGCAGAGGAAACATGCACATTAAAATTGATATTTTTGATTTTTCACTTTATTTCTTTTTCTGTCACTTAAGCATGTTGGAAGCTCTGAATAAAAAGGAGCATAAAAAGGAGAAAGACTGAAGGCAGAAGAAATAAAATGAAAGTAACAACTAACACTGTGGCTGTATTATTATGGCAAAAACTATAATCTTGATTATTGCTATTCTAAATTGTACGGTCATTATTAACAGTATTTTATTACCAGTATTCCTTCCACTCCCAAAAAGTATCATCATAATATTGATGATTGATCATAATATATGAAACCTTTCACTCTCTTTGGTTTTGTACTTTCAGGTATTCATAAAAGTGAGATGACTTATTGCAGCAAGTTTCCTGTGTGTGTGTGTGTGTGTGTGTGTGTGTAAGTGAGCGAAGTATTTCCTTTTATCAGCCTCAGCCTTGATCCACTCATCATACTAGATTCAGTGACATCTCTCGCATGACTGAAACAAACGATGCATGACTTTGAGCAGAATGAAGACCATTCCAGGCAATATATATTTTTAAAGTGTTTGACATCAATTATATTTCCAAATGAGAGAAGAAATGGATTGTGCAAGTTTATTTCTGTTTGCAGTTTTTGCTTTTTGCCAGTCATTGAATTTGACTTTATTTAAATTTTGCACAGCTTTTTGACACAGACTACTTAAAGAGACAAAATTAAAATCCCCTCTCACTGCTCAGAGTAGGATAAAAACTCCAAAAGCAAGACTAGCTGCAAGGAAATGTTCAGGCCCATCAAAGGAGATGAAATTAAGTGAAGACAGACTACCAACATTACCAACATCAGAATCGCACATTTACTACTCTTATTCTTATTCTTATTTGTAAAGTGAAACAAACAAAATTTCAACCAAAATGATCCTCTAGATGTTGTCTTTGAAAAAGCACAATTTGCTCCCAACCCTTTTGTATTATCATTATTATATCAGTAGGACTACAAAGATGTCAGAGAAGATATCCTATTCAACTACCTCTTTGACAGTAATTTGGCTTTGGTGTTGGTTTGGACTTAGTTTCACTAACTCATGAAGGATCAATTAATGACAATTAATTGTCTATCTAATCAATAGTTAATAAGAATAATAATAATGCAATTAGAAGCATTTCATTAATTTTGACATAGCCAGCTGTATATCCTATAATGCTGTAAACACTCAACAATTAAAAAGCTATTTAAAAGAGATTTGTAATCTTTTGCATAATATGAATCATTTTTGATTGGTCTCCATGCTGTGTCTTTGTTGGACAAGCCACTTGTGAAAGTGTCCAATAAGACATTACGGTTTAGCTGGATTTCATTAGTACAGTGGCAGCCTTGGGCATAATCAGGTGTAGTAGGCAGCAGTTTCAATTAAGCCTTTTGACAATTGTGCTCAGCACATCAGTCACGGTGTAACTGCGTACGCTCATAAGAGCAGATTGTATCACAACAAATGAAGTGTGTAAATCGTGGAAATGTGGTCACAGTGTAATTACAATGACATCAGTAACAATGAACATGAACAGACTTGTGTCCTGTCTCGATGCATGATGGGAAGCTTTTTTCTCACTCCTTCTCCTGGAGCACTACAGGATCTTAACTGCACTGTCTGTGATGCTTTTCATCCTCCCACAGCAGGGCCACCAGGGCTTTCAAAGGGATGTGTTGACCTTATGAGGCATTCTGGGGGTGTTTCTGTATGTAAATGAGCCTGTATGTGCACAAGCAAATGGATGTAGAACAGGTGAGATTTCTCATTGTTCATAACATGTAGTAGGATGTTACCAACAGCTTCTGTGCACATATTTAGACCTTGTTATATTCATGATTTGATAAATGAGAGCCCTGGACTGGACTAACGCAGTGTTGACAACAACCCTACACAACCTATCTATACTTGGACTCAGCAACAAGGTGGACAAAATCATCCAGTTATATTTTCCATGCAATTTTGGCCATCTCCCCAATCACCTTTACCTGAGCAGTGATGCTCCCCAAGAATCCCAAGTGTTTAGAAAACTGCAGGATGTCTAAAAGCAAATTGCTGTTCCTGATCCCACTGACAGAAGACATGAGGCTGATGGAGAGACTGAAAAATCCCCTGTCCTCACTTTCATTTTTGTTATTACCCCCTTCATCCTAACATGGCTTTAAAAAAACATAAAAACTCAAAAGATGAGGGGAACAAGGTTGAAGGATTGGGATTTGAGGCAGTATAACAACCATGTGCTCCTCACCAGATAAATATATATAAAAATATGAATTTTCCACTAGGGGGCAATGTTGTTCTATGGAAGCCACAGCTCTGACCGGCAGAGAGAGCAGAGTACCTGTCACAGAGGTTGTATTAGCCATGTGGGTCACAGAGGCTCTGCTTTTTAAAGAGATGAACAATGAACAGTGATGGGTAGGGGTGGAAGTGGGGGTGGGGGGGGGCGGGGGGGGGATAACAGAAATAAAAATTCATGCCAAGCAATCAGAATGAAAAACGGTTGTTCTGCAAATCAGAGGAATGAAGGAAGAATTAATGGGAAGGGACGGCCTGAGCCAGGGAGCTATTACAATTCAAGGATGCTTTGAAACAATTACATATTCAGTACAAGAGCTGCTAATTGTGCACATTCACACACTTCCCTGCTGATGTATCATTGCTGTCACCTTTGGGCTACAGTGTAATAGCATACTGTACGATTCTGATGACAAAAAGCTAACTTTGCATCAGAAATGGAAACCTGCTGCTGTTTTTATGGTCTAAGCGTGGGTGTGGATGATGTAATGGCACAGAATATAGCTCCATGCCTGCCAAATTATTTAAGGACTGGCCTGATATCACTGGATGTTATTTGATAATATGTCATTTTACTTAGATAATGGAGGATCATTTGGAATAGTAGCTTTGATAGGCTATGGTTCATCACTATCCTCTGCACCACCTTTTATTGAATCTGCCTTTAATCCCTTTAACAATTTAAACTCCAAAACAAACAAATGAGTCAGTGGAAACTGAGTTTTCAAATGTTTTGTCCACTGCTGTTTTCAAGATAAAGCATCTGCTAATGAAGATTGTGTGATATGTTTGAAAGCTCCACAACGAGCACGTAAGTAGACCTTAAGTTGACAATCTCTGTCAATTGCTGTATGACTGAACTTTTGACCTAAATCATAAACATTTCTGATGACAGATGGTTTGACTTTGAGTGGCATTTCATCAGAAGCACAGGATTTTCTATTGAGAAAAATATCATTTTGCCTTACAGCTGTGTTCTGGACAACCCAATATCAGTGGTTTGGCTTAGTCCCAAGATCATGTAAGGCCTTATGCCCATCAACCACACAGTTGTTGTATGTGACCTCTGGAGCATTAACTGTTTTATTTTGGTTCATTTGATCAGGTAATAGCAAAGTCCTTTGAACATCAGTATTCAATGTCTGGGCCCTTAATTAAAATAACAGTGGTGTGGTTCATAAAGTGAAAACTTAAATAAGTAGGCAATGAGGGCAAAAATAGTTATTCACATTACAGTGGAAAAACAAGCACCGCACAGTTTGGTGCAGTATTTATCACTGCATAACTCCTGCTGTACTTAAAGGGGGTATTTGTAAGTCTTCTCTGCCACAGAACGTGGTTTCTTGTCTCTCAGCTCTTGGTGAGAGAAATAAGTTTGATGCTGAACTTGCAACGTCTCTAAATTGGTAATAACAGCTGTTAATGCTAATGCTGCTATGTAGCAATAGCAATACTTACAAATAGTGCCTTTAACTGTGCCACCATATAGTAGCTACAATGCTAAAGTTTGAAGTTTTAATGCATTGCTGCTCTACGCTGTGCCATAGCAACACACTACATGCAGAGAGGTGCCTGCATAAGAAGTTTTCTGAAAATAATGTGAATATGCCTCAAATTAATTCTCAAATGCATATGGATGTCTTCTAGAAAGACAATCCTACAAATTCCTATTGGAACTGATTAAATACTCAATCAAAATATGTGTTACAGCAAAGATTCTTATCTAATGACAAATGTCCACTGCAGGCCGCAGTAAAGAATACAACTGTAGATGTAAATGCCTTGTCTTAATGTCTAACAATATGTTTGGCAGCAATAATTTACAGGCTGCAGAGGTAGGCTTGTGGTTAAACGACTGATGGTTATGATGAAAGACACAAAGCAGGAGAGGAAGACTCACTCCTCTAGTGAGATGTTGGAGTACAGCAGAGAGGGGGTGGAGGAATGAGGAACAGCTGGGCTGCTGGAGTCACGCTGAGTTGTCTCAACTGCCATCCACCTCTCTGGTAACGATGTCTGGGGAACAATTTCCAGCACTGCCCAGCACCTGAAACACACAAACCCACCCAGAGAAATTTACTAAATGACAAGTACCACAATGTGAATAAACGCATCTCATTTATCAGCAAACATATACCTCCATTCCTGTTATGGAATCTAATTTTTAAAACAAATTAATCCCCGTCACTAACTCTTTCCAAATCAGGATATAGCCTATACATTTAGTGACTCAAATAGGCCGTGACATATGCTGATCAAACTTTCAACACTTTAAAACCTGACTATTAAAAACCAAGTACTTTTTAAAACAATTCAAGCTTGTGAGCCCCAGTGATGTAATGTATGTGCTGTGTATTCAGCATTTTGTTTCTGAATCAATATGATACAGTTTTCCCACAGATATAAAGAGGTATAAAGCTAAGCGTACAAGGAGCTCTTAAATTGAAAAAAATAGCTGCCTACAGGCCTGATAGCAACTTTCTTATTTCGGTATGCTATTCTACGCATTATTTGATAGAGCATGTTTCAAATAGCTACTGTCTGATCCAATCACAGTGTATAGGGCTCTGTTTTTTATGACCGCCAAGGACAAATGGCTATAGCATTAATGGCTGTTCTGTGCCAACATGAAGATAAAGTATCATGATCCAAAAGACAACACCGCAAGTAATTGTACAATTTCCAAGATATGTACTTGCATGCATCTAACTTTTCTTGAGTGGAGGGGTCAGGATTAAATACATTTCATGATGTGAAAAAGATGGGGATTAAAACAGTATGTAGATGTATGTTAAACAGTTGAGATTAGTTACCAAAGGACCAAAAACAAGCTTCAGTTTCTTCCAGGAGGATGTTGCAAGACAGGGCCATTAGTCACAAAGATACACCACAGCCTCTAATCTAAAGTAAGACACACACTCTTGCTTAGTCACCACTGGCACCAGGCTGCAATAATCAACATTTTTATATGAACAATGGATCAAATGAATGTGTAATGTGAACAAGCCACAGAGAATTATCGCCTAACTCTGCAGTTCCCCTCAGCCTTTCAAAGTATTGTCACATTTTTCAGCTCACTGTTTTGCTTTTATGGCAAACAGCTTTACTTTTGTGATTCATTCTCACCACTCAGCAGTGGTGAGACATACAAGGAGCCCAGCACCAAACAGCAAAAAACAACAAAGTTAGTGACTAGCGGGTGAACATAGTAGAGCACTTAGTAGCTAAAAAGGGAGGTGGACAGAAACAAAACTCCAAATGAAGACTGCCATTGGTCTGTGTTTTCTAAATGTGTAAACAGGCAATAGTTAGCTAACATGTTAGCTAGTCAACAGCAGCTTAAGACAAGGCTGCCAACTCAACAACTCAAAAAGTTTCATGATCTCTAGCCAAATTTTCGTCTTGGATTCATCCAATGTAAAATTTGTGATTTTTAAGCGAAGGAAGAAGCAGTGCGTGCAACAACAAATCACTGCAATATGTGTTCTGCTGGAGCAGCCAATCACAGTGATTTTTTTCAGACCCACTATATCAAATGATTGTATACTGTAGGTGGTGGTAATGAGCCAAATGGTGCCGAAACGGAACAAATACATATATAAATAGTTCAACGGTCATTTGTTCAATTTTATGAATTTGTTGGGTCTTACTCCTGATCTGTCGATGCTAAAGCATGATAAAACATACTGTATCAGTCAAACCTCTAGCCATGCCTAATAGTTAGCGTTAGCTGCTAATTGACCACAGCTGTTAATAAAATGATTTTATACAGGATGTTACAGGATGCTCACTTCCTGTGATGAAGTGAGGAGCTTCAACAATGTAAGCAGGAGTTTGGTGGTCCTAGGCAGATTTCAGTTTTACTGGAGAACCCCTTTGAGACTTTTCAAGCGACTGCATAACATAATGGCAGTCTTCCAAGACTGGTTTTTCCTTTTTGAGAAGAGATTGTCACAAGGCTGACATGGAAACAGAGACGTAGTACTTTTAAAACCTCCCAAGGACGACATCGTGAATTAATTACACATTTATCAGCAAGACCAATCCACTCTAAACTGAAATTATTCATTGCTTTAGTTTTGACAGGTCACTGAATCATAAAACACGCTCAATCAAGAAAATGAGGTGCTCTTTGAAAACTGACAGTCTCATTCTTGATGATGATTTCATTCTAAACACAAACCTGCTGCAGATAGTAACACAGTTTTCACCCAATCACCAGGGTTACCGTATGTGTTGATAATTTTACTCCCTCCAACACCACAGCCCCCTCCTGTTCTAGTTTTCCTTTGCTCATGATAGTCCTCATGCTTGACTTTGGCATCCATTTCCTTGTGTATTATGTATACCCCCTCACTCAGTGCTGCGTATCTGCTGGGTTCTGTACTGTGTAGCCCTCAAGGTTTACTGTGCTCCCTGCTGAATCCCTTAGTGCTGGATTCTTTAGGGAAGAATTTCAAGAGCAAAGCTTCTTCAGAAAAAATACATCTGACTGTGTACATTTAGTGCATCGCTTCTATACTGGATACACTGTGTTTTGGTCCATCTAATGTAAGTTATCTTCAACCCTTAATTTTTAATGGTTATAAGTTTCAATATCAGTTACTACGTAAATAACTTGGTGCAGGAAATACCTCTGTGCCTGAGTAATACAATGTTTGTATCATTATGTACTTGGCTATGACCTTCAGTAAGCAATTATCATAAGGCAAAAAAAAACAAACAAAAAACCTGCAGTATGAACAAAAATCTATTTGAAACAACCTGAAGTTTACTTTGTGAAAACACCATTTTCTTGCTGAAATAATTCCCAGATGAATTTGTTAAATTTGCATTAAATAATGAAGTGAGAAAACATGTTTATTAACAAGCAAGCATCTTCTACAAGTGATTACCATAACATCAGTTTGATGTATACAGCAGAGCGCCTGTCTTCATGGAAGGAGTGCATGGAATCCTCAATAGGAATTTTACAAGATCATCTTCTGCTGTATAAATGTGTCTAAATCATTTATTTGAAATGTTATACTGCAAGTTTTTCCATTTTAATGTCTATTTACTTTCTCTGATGTGCACGACAACCTTCATCATTATGATATACATCAATCTGCAAAGGTGCCAAATTTTCCGCTGTTAATTGCTTCACCATTCCACATGCAAATAAGCCATTTTTGCCAAGTAAGGCAACATTTATACTGTCAGATTACTGTAATTTTCCTCTTAGCCCAAATCAACCATTTTCAATGGTAGCCTTTTAATGCGGTATCAATCTGAAAACACATCTTCAACACCTGTTGAGTCTTTGATCAGTTTGTGTTTACATCGACTGGCAATTTCACAAATGAAATGATGAGCTGTTCAGTATGATGGATTGTTACTGATATTGCTGATCTAAATCTTGAATATAAACACATACTTTACAGTGGAAACTGGGGAAAAAAAATGGTGCGTATAGTGATCAATTTGACCCATACAGACATGATCACTATACGCACCATTTTTTCCCTTTTTCTTTATTTCTCATGCAGATTACAATCTAATCTACATTCATGTCATATTTATGCATTTACATCTTTCTAGGTGCTCAGAAAAATGGAAATATGGACAAATACATTTCCATAGAAATGGGGCTAATTCCATCTGCTAAGGACGACCTTTGATACAATTAAGAAGTCCAGAGCAGCTACTAAATGGACCTTATGGTGAGATTTCATTGTTTGGTAAGAATTGATTTTAAAGCTCATCTAGATTCACAGTGCATCATGTACATAATGACAGATCTTAATACTTCTAGGTATCTGATTTGAAGATGTTCACAATGGGTGGACTGTCACACACTATAACAATATATGTTAAATGTGCTATCATTAGCAGCTCATATATGTGCATTATAAGAGACAATCATGGCTGATCAACAGTCCCAACCAAGCCCCTCTTTGGGTTGTCAAGGTGTTTAGGTCTGGTGGAAATCAACCTGATAATCCTTTAGGGTACAGCTAGTCTTTGAAGGTTTTCTCAAAACAAAAACAGAGAGAGTGAGAAACAGAGAATAAATCACAAGTTCTTTGTTTGAAATCAAAGGCCATAAAGTTAGGCTGCAGGAGAGAGAAAGGAATTCACGGACAGGTAAATTCTCCCCCCTCTCTGCGGCACTGGCAGTTGGTCTCTTTGAATCGGCAGAGCAGAGTGCAGCTCTGAGAGATTTATCCATTCATTTGTTGTGGCTACGCTCGAATGCACCCAACAACAGACCATTTCTATTTTATTCTACTAGTCTTTCACTCTGCTGGGTGGCTCAACAGAATTATGTCCCCAACGATAATTATCAATCAAAATTATGGTCTGAAAAATGGAGGCAGAGGAAACTGCTTACCAGGACGTCAAGTATGAACAGGACTCCAAAAAGAAGTAGTGTGATAAGAGAGAGAGGGAGGTGAGGTGAGCGAGGGGAGGGAGGGGATTTGTATATATGTGCAATGTAGCCATAATGATTGCAGTCAACTTATAGTAACAAACTGTGCCACACTTCAAGTACTTTGAAGAACAAATAATTTCAATTCAAGTGCATTGCATAAACATTCAGTTTTTCCATCGTAGTTTTGAGCTATCAGATAATGTGAAATGTTTGTTATCTCTGGCAGTCTAAAAAGAACTGAGCTAGTTGTTCTACATTGTTACACTCTTAAAGTATCATATAGTTTGCAGCTGTAATGTATCCAGATTAAATAGCTTTGCACTTAAAAAGGTACAGACTATCCAAAAATAAATACTCTTTGAATGACGCTGATTATGTTTTATAATTCTTGTTCCATGTCAAACATGTGAAGTGACTCTCATTCTTACAGAGCCACACACTGAAAATGAAAGGTATTGCAATGTTTTTTCTTGCCATGACTAAGAAAGAGTCTGTAGCTATTCTGAAATGTGATATTCAATGGTGGTGAGAAAAAAAATGGTGTCAGAGAGAGGGGTGAGAAAAGAAAGGCATTCTCGGTGTTGCACTTTTAAGCAATTGAAGAAAAAAAAACAAAAAACAGCATGAGTAATTAAAATACTGATTTCTTTCTCATCTCCACGTACCTGCCTAATTGCTGCATGCGTGAACAAGGCCTGTCAAACTGTCGATTTCAGAAAAGGTTATAATATGAAATGCAGCGCCTGCTCTGATGGTGGAAAGGTGCTGGGGGGATAAGAGGTGTCAGATGTTCCACACAAGCTTCACTACAAGCTGTATGGAGGCGAGGGTTGTTGCCTGGACACCGTATTGTGACAGTTGAGAGCAGATAAAAGCTCCAATGGGATGACAGTCACTGAGATATTAGACTAAAGAACAGTACAGCCTAGAGAAGGTGATGTTACACCGCTGGATGCTGGACAGTGATCTGCAGGAAGACCCTGATGCAGCTGTTGGACTGAGAGAATTTTCCTACACCTACTAAAATGTAAGTTGTGCTAAAATATACCAATAAAAATAATATCATACTAAAAAAAAATTTCTCATAAATTGGCAAGGCATGATGACAATGATATGGTAAACAGAATATTAATATTAGGGATGCTCTGATTGATCGGCTGCCGATCATTATTGGCTGATTTTCATTAAAAATATGTGATCGGTAGATTGGAATTAATACCTCTAGTCACCGATCACCTTAAAACCAATCACCTGTGGTTAAGACTCTGGTGTCTGCGGCTGAGAGAAGCACTGTGTGCTGTATAGTGTCCCACCTTCTTCAATGCGCCGGCACACGATAGGCCACCAAAACAAAATATCTCGGCCGTGTGGAATTTTTTACAAAGTATGTGAGACTGATCTAACGTACGCCATCTGCAATGCATGCCAAAAATGATCGGTATCAGCTGGGGATCAGCCGTCTTCACTCATAGATGATCGGTATTGGTATCGGCAGCAAAAGAAACGTGATACTGGCATCCCTATTAATTTTGCATTAATGCTGTCATAGATATTTTTAATTACAGCAATTTTAGTGTCATTATTAACTCAAAATTCAGATGCCACTATAATTATGAACTCAGTCACATGTTTTGTATAGAAGGGCAGTGTATATGTTCATGACTCATATGAAAGGTCTGTACCACTCCAAGTAGTAAGTAAAAATCCAAGTATAAGAAAACTGGTGAGAGCGACAGATTCCCTTAAATCACTTGTATGTGCCACTTAAGAACCAATCTGTTCGTATGACTTGCTCTCGTGTGAGACTCATTATGGCCTGATCATGTCTGATACATCTGCCTAGTGTTGCAGTGGAATATAAATCAAAAGTATCTACAGCAGTTTTCACATGCATGTCGACCATAACTCTTAAGGGAACTGTGGAATCAAAAGGTTGGAGTTGGAGGAGGAGTTCAGTGAAAGTGGATGCAATGCACAAGGAAGAAAAAACAAACATGTTGAGATCTGTTGCAGAACAGAGCCCATGTAAAATAAAACACTTGGTTGAAGGCTCATAAGATGTAGCTCTCTAACCATGCATTTACAGAACTAAAAATAAAAACATAGTTAGTGTTTTTTCAGCGTTGAGCAAAGGTGGTGGGAGAAAGTGAAGGCTGTTTTCAGCGCATGGACATAACTCTGAAATGTTATCATGAATCGATAAATGGAGCTGCCCTGTGAAAAAACTTGCCATTATAGCGCATTGCTTTGCTACGCAACACTGCTTTCAAAATCTGGTGTGTAGGTTGGACACAAAACAAAAAAAAATGCAGCCTGAAGCTCATAAATCTCAGAGAAGTATCCCAGAGGAGAGAGACTTATTGTGTGGAGCTGCTGTAAGTTGTTTTGCCAGAAGCTGATCAGTAAAGTACACTAAAGGTCAGATACAACCAACTGGGTATAGCTCAGTGAAATTTGTCATGGGTGTGCAGCTCAGGCAGCAGTGCAACAGAGCATTTTCTTGAGTTTAAAATGTGCTTGTCGGATCATTTCAAATTTTCACTTCTTTTTTTTTTTTAAATCCAAATTCTTTCTATTATTTAAAAAAAATGATTGAGTCGGTGAAAAGATTGACAGAGTGGCACAGCATGAATTTTGATATTGCAACCTACATACCTGCAGTATTTGGATTAAACTTGCAGTGTTGGTCCACATGGAAGCTGTTTGTGTTGTGGGGTCGTGGTACACTGGACAAGCTCTAGTGTGGCGTCAGTCTTGCTTGGGCTAGGGTTGATATGTAGGACTCGAAGTGTTAGAGGATCAAAGCTACATTTAGTGATGTAGGTTGTTAATATAGTGCTGGTAAAGAAGTTGTAACGTGATGATGTGATTAAGCAATGTAACAGAGGAAAAGGGAGGAAAGTAATTAGCTAGGACAGTACCGATTCTTGCCGGGAGTTGGTGGTGGTGATTGTCGCTTGACAAGAGCTTCGGCCATTGTTGTCTTTACAAGGCAAGAGGTTATAATACGCCCTCTGAGCAGGGCTGTGTCTTCAAGGTAGATTGGAGGCTACAATGAGACACTATCGGAAAATGATGAAACGAGACGACCAGCTGGTTAGCGTGCTAACTTCAGTAGAAGAAAAGATGTGATAGAGACGAGTAAACATTGGTGTTGCTTTGCACGGTTGGAGACAGCTGTTGACGAATAAAGGGATGAAGTTTGATGCTGAAGTCGCAACGTTTCTTCTAGACTGGTAAGTAAACAGCTGTTAATGCTAACACTGGCTATGCAGCAATAGCAAAACTTACAAATAGCTCCTCTAAGCACTCACCTCCCTGGGATTCCTCAAATGATTTTCCTTTAACAGTGTTCTATTGTCAAAATGTCAAATTGATGAAAGTATTTCAAATGTTTTTCTCTAAAAAGTCTATACAGGGCTGCTATATATAGGAGTGCACACCTACGTTTCTATGACAACAAGCAAGTGACTGTGATAAGTGATTATTGTGCTGATTAATTTGAGATTTATTTAGTATTGTACTTAGGTTTGGGGCATTAAAAAAAAGAATTGATAAAAATCAAAAAAATTATTAGAGGCTTCAACAACACTGTATCCTACACCTCCCATAATTCAACTGGACAGTATATGAGATTTTGCCTACATGGTAAATGGTGATGTCTTTTAAACTCCACACGCAGATTTTATTCTCCATTAAAACGGAGCTGTTTTTACTTGAGTAATTCTCTCAGACTTGACAAAGCTATAAAAGACATTATACAACAGTTTTCATGGCTGAATGGAACTCCACCACTAGATAATGGACACAGACATGTAAAATTGGTGGAAGGGCTTTTTAAAGTTTTGTCTCTCCATTTGTTTATTTTTCTCTCTCATGAAACTTGCTCTCTTTCTCACAAGCTGACACAAACACACACTGGCAAATATCCACAAATGAAGGTGTATATTTTCTTCTAACATTCTGGTATGTTTTGTTTTTGTTATGATGTAGGCTGCTGAAACTCTAAGAGTGTGTGTGTGTGTGTGTGTGTGTGTTTAGTGGAGAGACGTGTGTTTCATGTGTGTGATTATTTTCTCTTTTTCACTGAAATACCAGATGCATCCAGTTCACCTGATGTAAATGAAGTGACTAAAGAACATGCACACAAACATTCACAAAATAAACAACAGAATCAGTCTTAGTGTGACAGCCGACATCAGTGGAGATACAGCTGCCGTGTTCATATGGCCATATTTACTGAGGAGAGTAAGGTTTAAATTAAGTGCAGACTGACTCCAGATTCCATACCCTAAATTACCACATTTGGCTTAAAAGTTACTTCTTGAACACAACACTTCAGCCTTCATCCCAGCCACACAGTGTCTAGATCCACCATCCACAAAACAGTCTACTGCTATCTTTGCTATTAACTCCTATGGAAGTTTCATACACACAACCCTATAGATATTCCATTTCACGCCCTAGTACTCTTATTCCTCATAGAATTAGCCAATAAAATCTTTTTAAAATAAAAAAATAGTTTTAAAATCTTTAATGTGCAAGGATGTCAACACATGAAACAGTTGGGACCTCCTTATGAAACATACAGAAGCTTAAACCCTCCACCGAACCACCCATTTTCCTGCCTCCGTAATCTCTGACCCTGAGCCCATGGAGAGGTTGTAGCAGTCATTCTCGAGAATAGCCCAGTGTCCTGTGGTGCTCTCCCCTGGGAGGCAATACACCAGATGCTCTCCTAGGGAAAAAGGTTTCTGCCATGGTACAGGAGTAGATCCAGAAAAGCTCTTGAATAGTATTTAGTATAAAAATAACATTTTCTTTGTTTTTCAGATGGGCGGTGTGGCCTATATTTTATTTGTCAAGATATGCTTTTTCATTTAGGACAGTGCAGTCGGCGAAGTTAGAACATGGCTGAATAAGAGTATTACTTTAAAGGATAATGAAACCTGAAAAGGTGTGTCAGGTGATAACTATTTATTTCCCTTAGGTTCTTGATTAAAAAGCAGGAGCAGAAGAGAGTAATGTTCTTACCAGAGGATGTTGAGCACAGTGCAGGTTGTCAGACCTCCAAGAACTGCTCTTCGAAACCACAGGATCTGAACATAAAGGAAATACAGAACACGGTGACCAACATCCTACTCAGAGAGACTTAAAACTGAATTTTGTAAAAGGATAACATAATGAGATCCAATCATCCGAATCGAATATCAGTGGAAATCAATAAGCAATAATATTACATTATGTGCCAGTTTCAGCAGTAGATAAACTGCAACTTCTCGCTGCCCCCTTCATTTGCATCATGTCATTTGTATACAACGTTGAAGAGAAGTCTTTAAGACTTGTCAGTGACAGTGACACATTTACAAGGTTTGATCCTCTACCCTCTTGTGGGCCTGACTGTCTTTGTATGTTTTATGCAAAATATCTGTGTACAATGCAAAACACCCTTCTTCAAAGACACTTTGGAGACAGTGACCTCCAAAAATACAAAGCATGTCAGGGATGATGATACATTTTTTGTTGTATAGGCCAAGTCAGATGTAGGTGGTTATTTCTACGAAGGAGGGTTTGTTATTCTGACAATGACATTGAAAAATTACAGCAGCAGAAACGCAGGCTTGTAGTCAGTGACAGTGGGTGAGAAAAACATACTATCCCACGCATAGAGCAAACAGTTGCAGTTGTGGCAGTCAGCATGGACAAACTGTTTAGAAAGGAACTGCAGATAGAGTTACAAGATTCAGTGCTTCCGGACCGACACTCCCTCTCGAGTGTGGGCCGACTCTCTGAGGACGATGATGAGGATAGGAAGGCACTGACACAATGACAAATTAATAAACTACTATTCCACTTGGCATCATCTAAAAAGAACCATCGCGTGGATGCTAAGATTCAGAGATGGTCTACTGCTTTTAAGCAAAAGGGGTGAAGAGCTGAAGGCTGCAGCTGCATCATCATGAGATGGTGCCGATGATGGTGCAGATGCAGGGGTATAAAACAAGCTGTTACCACCGGATCTGTGTAGAGACGCTGGGTTTCACAGATAAATACATGAAATAAACATAAATGCCACCGTCATCATGTTTTCCACGTGGTTTTCCATAGTTTGACCTTTGACTGGATCTCTTTTAATTACATCGTATGCACCCTCTTCTGCAATAGTTTACTGGGAAGAATTGGTGCCACCAGCTGTTTATCTCAATGCGCTCAAGTCTTACTGTATAGAACAGCTCTTGCCTACATTTTTGTCTTTTATGAATATTGAAGACATAACTGCCTATTTGTCAACATACTGACACTTTGTTCCTGTCTTTCACTCCTTTTGGGAATGACTGTACAACACTAAACCCTGTCACCCTGATTTTATATTAATACTATCAATACTTTTACATGCATCGGTGCATTATTCACAGCGTGTCCAACAAAAAGCTGGACTATGTGCCTAGGGCAGAGCTGCGGCCTCACCAGCAGCACTTCTGACCTGACCAATAACGACTGACCCAACCAGCAGGTTGGCCTGGCAGGAATGGTGACACACAGCTACATTAATGTCCACACTGAATATTTTCGAATAATTCCCATCTTATGTCTTTTAAAAAAGGATTTGTTTACCAATGGTCTGCTTAATTACACAAACCAAAGAACGTTTTTAATTCAACATTTCACAGAGTATAATACACACTAGGAGCTGACCAGTACAGAGAGAGACAGACGACTAAAAGGGCACCACAGCCTTTCAGTCTTTCACTGCTCCCCACATGTTACAGTCTCTCTCAGCGTACTAATGCTGAAGAATAACAGTCCATTTCTGAATTCAGAACATTTGGTCTACAGGTCCACCAGGATGTAGTGGAGGACTAGATTTACCTGTGTTCTGTTGTGTGAGATCTGTGAGAAAAGCAAAGGCATCACGTTTACAATTCCTCCTGTTGAGACAGAAACAGAGCAGCAGGTAAATCTCACAGGCTGTGTCGTCTTTACCCTTTTTTCTTTACTGCATGGAGACAACACTTTATTAAAAAAAAAGAAAGAAAAAATGTTGTCATCTGCTTCATCCACAGTGGCCAATCCAGTTGGAAATAACAGAGTGCTTGACTACTTTAGAGGTAGCCTAGTATAGCTGGAAAATGAACCGAATGCATTAAATTACAGGCATTATGAATGTCTTACTGGCATAAATGCATTGATATTACAATGTTCAATAACTAAGTTGTCTGAATCCCATGTGACAAACCAAAAATAGCATAAACAGCCATAAATAATCACATCAGAAGTGAAGCGCAACAGGAGAGAAAACATAATGCCCTCATGTAGTTAAAGAAACGCTATTGTTAATTTATTATTACTGAAGTAAATACAACAAATTACTGAACTCCAGTCCACACATTACATATAATGGACAAAGTCAGATACAGAGGCACAAAATATGTTCAGAAAAACCTTGCATCATGGGAAGGTACAGATACTGCATGTATGCTTTAGTTTTTGCAGTCCACTACTTCTGATATTTTGGTGCTTTCTCCTTTTAGCTTTTGCTTTAGAGATGTCAGCCCATATAAGCTGCAGTAAAATCTGTCTCACCCTGCTTTAAGGAACTGCACACCAAACTAAAAGGATTGTATTAGTCTGCGTTTCGGTGGGTAGTCCTGAAGTCCCATCATAGCCAGAATGTTGTTTGAGAGGCTTTTAAATCCTGACCAGAGTACAATTTTGAGGTAAACATAATCCTTTTTTAATCTTAAGAAAATGATTTAAAGTTGTTCTATATACCGTTCCACACAACAAGCAATGACAAACTGCAAAGCAGCTGTCATAGCTGGCAGTTTGCATGTTCAAATGGCCCTCAGAAGTAATGAAAGCTGGAGGAAGTACAGTCAGAGCTGTCGCACAAATGCTAACGAAACAGAGCGATAACCCGTTGTACTGCCACAGCTGATGTGTTGCAGTGACTTCAGGAAGTCAGAGTACTCGCTGGTGGTGTGGTTGGAAAACTTTGAAGTAGAGTTGAACACTGGTTCAGGCTTGAGCTTAACTCATGCTCTTTAACACCCATTTTTTGGGTATTTTCCTACCCTGTGTCACGCCCCCAGCATGGCCCACCTATTTTCCATTTATCTTGTCTAATTTAGACACTGAGACAGAAAATTCATTGTGTTTTTATGCGGATGGAAAGCATAACTTCTAAATTGTAGTGGGAGGGGGGTTACTAGTAATACACATTTTCAATGCAAATACTTTAAAGGGCCTTTTTGTGAATGTTTAACCTCACAAAGGAAAGAGAAAAGAGAAAAGACAGACATGGCATGAGGGTATCTCAAAGAGGTAAAGTTAGGGAGGAAAACCTGTGAGGAAATTGTGTGAAAAATATAGTATGAGATATGGGGAATATTTGGGAATCTCACCACTCGATTTGATTCTGGTCCTGGCCTGCTGAATTGCAATTGGAAAGATAACTGTAACTCAGTTTAGCTAAGAGAATCACTGTCACTGTCGGTTCATCCAACAAAGCAGATTGAAGTGTGTGGGAGTAATCATTTGGAGGCATGTTACAATCTTCTGCCTATATGAGAATAATGACATGAAAGTGTAATTTACTGACCATCACCACTGGACAAATGTCTTTGATGGAAAAAAACATTTCTCTACACATGCTGGACTAAAATGAAAAATAGCTGCGCTGACAGTGGAGAACAGTCTCATTGAGTTTTCTTGATCACCTGATCAGAGTGCACACCAACTGCCGGAGAGGGCTGGACTCTGAGCTCCATTAAGCAAATGTTAGTCTGGGGGTACAAAACAATTAAAAAAAAAAAAAACGTTTCACTTTCATCTTACTAAGATGAATGTTATTAAATCAAGAAGATGAACTAAACATAATTCTGGAGTGTGTGCTCTGTACTCTGTCCTGATGCTGCACTGCGCACACTGTACCTTTTTTGTTCTGTCAACATAATGTTATTAGTTATGTTAAATATAGATTTTTAAAAAATCTGTGAATCAATTCAGAGTCATACAAGAAAAGATCTGCAGTTCTTATGAAAATTAATCTCCCCTCCAGCACCACCACCCAAACCTACTATCAGAGGATGAAAGATGAATGCACAGATTTCCGTCACAGTCATGGTGACGGCCTATTACATCTCATCTCTATTACAAATCAATACTATAGGCAGGTTCAGTTTAGCTTGACACAGAGATACTGTGTACATCTGACACATCTGATCCATGAAAGGTACTGCAGTCTGTTTTTCATATAGATATTCCCTCCCAAACAAACATCAGTGAGATGTAGGGCAACATTTTCAGGATGTTAAGTGAAATCTGAATCAAACAGCTCTGTTTTTGGTTACACTTTAAACAGGTTTTTTTAACTTTGTCTTCAAAGCTTGTGTTTGTGAATTATGTATAAACTTTATAAACCTCTGTTATTTTCTAATTTGTTTTGCATTTGTTGACCACTTTGCTGAAAACTGTCTTACAAGTTAGTTTTCCAAATCTGGCTGGCAGGTCTAATTCCAGGCAGCGGCTGCCTGGCACTCGGGCTAATAAACTGTAGGTGGCGAGAGAGCTGATCATAAGGATGTAAACCGTATCACAGTCATTGCCAAATACACACATTAACATAGATAAAAAGAAAACATCAAATGCAGTGACATAATGCGCACAGCTATCGAGGGGAAAAAAAAGAGAAAATACTGTAAAAAGTTTCTTCTCACCCAGAGCCACTGTGCCCATTAGGAAAGGTTTCCCCATCTGACTGAAGTCGTTGCTGCTCTGAAGGCCGACCTCTGACCCCACTGCAAATGTCACAGCCACCTGAGACACACAAACACACACAGGGCTTCGGTGACAGGTCTCGACAGATTCATTTTGTCAAGGTCAAGATCAAGATGAAGGTAGATCAACATCAAGGTACTTGTCTTGCAGGCAGGTAATTAAACCCTCTGCAGCGACGCAAACAACACAGGGCAGTAAAACCAAAGGAACATTTATTTTATTTATTTAATTTTTGAATCTTTGGGTCTCGTGTTAAATTCACCATTAATGAACCAAGCAGCTGGGGGAATAAAGCTGATTTTTCCATCTAATTTCATATAATGGATTACAATTAGTAATTTTTTACTCCCTAATATCAGTATCAGCATCAGCCCCAAAAATCTAATGTCAGTCGGGCTCTGGTTGTGACTTTTAACATACGATATATACAGTTTTAGTATAGAGATGCTCTGAAAAGTATATTTAAAATCAATAGTTGTATTCATGTATTTGATGTTCAGGTAAAGTAAAGCCCAAAGTCAATACATCTGTCATTTGTCTTTTCTCTTACTCTTTGCAACGAAAGAAAGATTTGATAACTTTTGTTGATATTTTCTTCTATAAGAAAACTGTCAGTACACAGAGTGAAGATCTGTATTGAGAGGGACAAAAACTCACACTGAAACCTTTAGTGAAACCACTCAACAACCGCAGTGAAGTCAAAAACCTATGCAACATTTAGGGAGATACTTAAGTGCGGTCTGTGTGTGAGGCCAAAAAGAGAGTGCCAGAAAACAGAGCAAAGAGTAATCTTTGTGTTTAAAAAAAAAAACGCTCCGTGGTCTGTTTGCTAATGGACAATGAGAGATGTGAACACTCTGGAGATGAAGAAAGCAGCAAACCATTTTACAGCCACAGGTAAGTAATGGAAGTGAAGGATGAAAAGGTAAGAGAGGAGCAAAGAGAGAAGAGGGGAAAGCAGTGAGGACGAGGAATCAAGACACAGAATGCAACAAGAGTAATGAAGGGGAATGAGAGAAAGGGTATGGAGGGGGGGGGGGTGATTGGTTCACACACTACACACACACACACAAACATAAACCTGACTGCATTGTCCTCTTCCAAGTGATCCCCCCCCCCCCCCCCCGAAACCAGACTGCAATATTCCCCTGCTGTCATGGGAGCCAGCAGCATTAAAGGTTCAATGACAACTTTATTATAGGTGAGGGTCCGGAGTCTTAACCAATTATAAAGCTTGAATAAATGTCACGCTAATTATTTCCAGAAAGCCGTGAAATTGTAGTCGATTCTCCGTGAATAATCTACCTTCCAACACAATTCCACAGCTCGGTGCATGAGATTCATTTAAAAGTGTGTATGAGTTTTGTGTGTGTGTGTGTGTTTGTGTGTGTGTGTGTGTGTGTGTGTGTGTGTGTGTGTGTGTGTGTGTATGTAAAACTGTGTTCACCCAAATTTCTATGTGTAGTTGTTGTAATGCCCAAAGCTTCATTCAGGCCTATTTCACAATGACTTAATAGGGCTCTTATCAAGGTGTATCAACTTCATTTGGGCTCCACTGTTATTTTATTTAGCTGCAGGTTTTTGTGTGAAGCAATCAGTCAAGTGTCAGGCTAAAAGGAGCTGCTGGAGCAGCACATTGATTTGGATGAAATTATAGAGAGGAGAGGAGAGGAGAGGAGAGGAGAGGAGAGGAGAGGAGAGGAGAGGAACAGTGAGTGGTCCCATATGGGAGAAGCAGGTGTGACTTTATTCTTTACTTGGCATGTGTAGTTTTTGCTGTTTGCTAGTGGCCAAGAGGGAGATACCACAATATCAGTGGGAGCTATTAGTGGCACCATCCTCAGAAGGTTGCACAGTCACCTAAGTGAACATCCATAAAAATGTGCCGCATGGAGAAAACTGCAGAGCCTGGCACCCAGACTGAAGATGATGGCAAGCTAGCAACAGATGGCCAGGGTCACACTGCCCGATAAACAGTGGCATGTATAATATTTTCTGCTCACAATCCCACAATGCAATGCTCCACATTTCATAGATGCTACACCTGTCAATAATAACACAAAATAATGATGACTGAAGCCTCATTTTACTACACACTAGGGTGAATGTGAGTGATTTCAGACACAGCCCTTGTTTCACTGGCTACTTCCTGACTGACTTTGTTGCACCCTCGCATGGGACAGACACATTATCATTCTGTTCAGTATATGGAGCACTGTGACGTCATGTCCTTCCAGTGTAGTTCTGCTGAGGCTCTCCTCCAGTAAGCCGGAATAAATGAGAATAAGTGGGAGGTTCTGTCTGACATACACAGACATAGCTAAACTGACAGGTAGGGACAATTAAACAGACGCACACACCTCACAAACATGAACCATTTGTTGATGACAACACACTTCGCAAAATTAACTTTCCACAGTGACCATCACTGCTACAAACATGTAGTGGGTGTGTGTCTTGAATGAAAACAAACTGCTGCTGTTTGTCTGAAAACCCATCAGGCTTCTTACATTGGCCTTTGTCTCACCAGAATCAATCCCAATCAATACAGCTACCCTGGGGGGGGGTCTGTCCCCTCTCTCTGTCCCTCCACAGACCTCCTACAAACTCTTATTTAAATCCTGCTCAAAACATCAGTCAACTTCATAAGTTGTTTACAGCCAAAGTTTCACATTGACTTTTTTATAAAGTTGACTTAAAATGGGCTGGATGCAACAATCTAACTGGCTTTCTCAAAGTGTTTTTCACAGTGGAGAAACATCTCCCTGAGGACAGTGTTTAGAAATTGGCATAAATTATGGACGCCTTTATTTAGGATTATGCTCCTGTGAAGGGAGGAAATCAAAGAGACCACAGCATTGATTTTGTTTTGAGAATGTTTAGAAATTCTGGTAAATGCCGTAAAAACCATTTTCATGCATTTTCCACTTTTAATGTGGAAAAAGAAAATACAAAAAAAAAAATTTAATTTTAGGCCTTTGTTATACTTTAATAAGTAAAATACTAAAAGTCACAATTTATCCTTTAGCACTGAGTAATTGAAAATGTAATCACGCTGTTTTACCAATTAGTAAACAGTAGCACTGGTTTGTTAAACAACTCCACCACACTCACATGTCTCACCTCCTCTATTTAACATGTGTAGAAAAAGACTAGACATTGTTGGTTTTTACAACAACAGCAGGCCTCGTGTATGTATATAGGAAGCACCTCAGAGTTTCCATCCTCACCATGAAGCCACAGGGTGAACATAACCTCCAACTCTGAGCAAAACCCAGAGCAAAACCCAGATCATTCCAAACTGAGAACAAAACTACATGTGAGTAAGACAACTGTGGAATTACTGAAGGTGTTTTCTTATTCTTTTGTCAGAAGCTCTCCCCTACACCCTCCTCTGGCTGGGAGACTCTTGAGGGACTGCTACTGGACACTTTCAATTTTGAACATTGGCCTGTTACTGTCCAGCCAGTGCAGTCCGAATGATAGAAGATCTGTGTTGATAAAATGTTAATATGTTCTTTTGAGGAGCCTTAAATTATTACTGTGCTATCAAATCAATGATCTTAAAGAGCCTCAGTGAGTGGTGCAGTGAGAGCTTTGCAGACTTTTGTTGCTCTGGGTTTTGCCTCTCAGGCTATTGACACGCTGCCCCACCGTAATGGTGAAGTTTTTTGGTGGCTGTTTGCAGAATAAAATGAATACCTGCAGACACCCACCGCCAACATAATGACTACCTTTAATACATTACTGAGTAAGTGTAACTGCACATCGTTCTTCTTGCTCTATGAGACAACGATATTACCATATCTAGTCCCTGCAGAAAAATGAGATAGTTGGAAGGAAGAGATCACCATCAATCCTAACCCCGTACCAAGGCTAGTCAAATTTTGCCTCTTTCTAAGACTTATTCCTACTTTTACATGATCAAAATTATTTTTCAGAATAAACAGTATACAACTAAATGATACAACATTCATGCTTACTTGTTTTATTTCAATTTATAGTCACATTTTATTTTTAGTATTACCTAATAAAAACTTCATTAATTATTTGAGGTCGCTGGGTGGTGAGGTTGCTGGGCTCAACATCATGATGACTCTGAGCCATCGGTGATGGCCGGACCCTACTACCTCTGAGAATCCTCTTCCACTATCAAAGTCACATGACACAAGGCATGTTTTTCCAGTCATAAAAAATGGTAATAAAACAATCTTAAAAAACATTTTATGTCTGCGATATTGCCTTTGATGCTTTACAGTAGTTGCTGACTGAAGGTCATACTTTACCCACCCTTTTATTTGCCGTGACATCACTTATTAAACCCCCCGCCCCTCTCTCTCTCTACCCCCCTCTATCTTGGCAGCTCAGGGCCTGGAAACTGCTGTTTTCTTTCAAAGTACACCAAGATAGAAACATTAATATTTCAGCCATAAAGAGAAAAATCACATTTGCTGGGCCATAAATGGCTGGTGCTTGACGATAGTGTGTTTTATTCTGGTGCAGTCGGCCTTGCCTGACCGGCTCTCTCTCATATTGATGCAGAGTAGAGGGAATGGCTCTCAGTGCCGTGCTCCAGAACTGAACCTCTAAATCTTAACACTCCACCCCCCCCTCCGTTCGGGACTTAGCTCTAGGACACATTTCTTTCATATTGTGTGTGTGTGTGTGTGTGTGTGTGTGTGTGTGTGTGTGTGTGTGTGTGTGTGTGTGTGTGTATGTGTGCGCGCATGCGGATACACGTGAGTGAGTTCCTGTGTAAATGTCTCCATCTACAGGACGTAGATGAAACAACAACTTCCCCCAAAGTTGGCGCCTATTTCTCATGGAGGTGGTTTGATGATTACTGGGGCTCAGAAATGACTACAGAATATTCAACACCTCTGTGATACAGCTTTTATTGTGTTTTATTGGTGTGGGTCCTATCAGTGCAATCTAAAATCAATCTGTCCAATTTCTCCATTGTTCTTCAAGGACAGAAGATCCTTCAGGAAGTCATAAAGGTTCCACTGGCTGCCTCCTGCTCTAGAGGAATGAAGTCA